GCCCGGAGCGTGGGCGAGTGTCCTCGTCGCAGGTGCCGCGGGGCCTGACGCCACGACGCCCCCGCGCTCTGAAGGTTCAAAGGTGTGAATAAGCCCGGACGCAGCCTTCGCCTGCAAAGCGGCCGAAACAGGACGCCTTGGAGCAGCTGACTCTTGTACTCACCTTCCTTCCCCGTCCTACTCTGCTTTTCAAAATGCGGCCTGAACCATCATCGCATCAGGTGCCCCCGAGGCGGTTGTTAAACGTGCAGGCCCCGGGCGGCCTGCCTCCTGAAGCCCAAGGCGTGCGCCCATTCGTAGTTGAACACCAACAGTCTACAAGGCGGAGGAGAACCTGGGAGGAGGCCCAGTCTCCAGGGAGTTTAATTCCTGAGCGTTTAGTCGTCTCTTGACCCAGACTAGCAAAGCTGACTAATGTGAGGCCGCACCCTAAAAGTACTGTGTGTGTTGGCCCCGAAGGCTTAGTAAGACATCGCGATCCCGGTCATTTGGGCGCATTGAGTCATGGCCCAACAGATTTACTCCGTTATTAAATGTGAGTTAATCTGCTACGTGAAGCAAACAAGCTCTCTACTTACCACCGTTCCAAGTCCAAACTCTACGCCCCTGTAATTACTCAAATCGGCAGCTAGGGGTTTTGTTGTTGTTGTTGGTTATTGCTCAGAAATCTTTGACACTCGCCCCAAATCGTAACTCTGAACAATATCTTATTTTCTCCACTTGAACCCCAGTTTACAGGCCAGTTGGAAAAAGAATGTAAGTATTGAAGAAGTTTGGGTTATGTCTTTGTAAACTGTAGCTTTTCCTTCAAAGACACTAGTACCTTTAATCACTCATCTGTTAATTTTATGATGTTTATATACTTACGTAAACCAACTTCAATTATTTTGATGCCAAGCCACGATGACAAATGATAAAATAAATTAAGCAATGCCTTTATACTTTTGGTTAGGAAAAAAACCAGATATAGTATAAAGAGGACATAAACTTTGGATCCAGACTCCAAGCTCAGCCACACATTAAATGAGTGATCTTAGAAAATCACCCAAGGTCTCTTAGCCTTAGATTCTTTATCTGAAAATTAGGAACCTACACCATAGGATTATTGTAAGAATCAGATTGTTATCAGAAAAAAAGATGGTCTTTCTCCATTGCTAGTGGGAGTTGGGTTCTTGGAGTACCACTGGAATGAGCATTTCCAGAGGCCCCCATGGGAGGTTGAGATAGGGTAGAAAGCTTTTATTTTTGTGGAATTAAATTACTCCGTTTCCAAAACCCCATTTCTCTTAGTCCAGCCATAGAAGTGTCGTTGGGGTTTCAGTGAAGCTAGAAGCAGAGCCAGTGTCCAGTTTCCTTTCCATGTTGGAGCTGGGTCCAGTTCAGCATCAGGCTAGTTGCAGTCCATTACTCCATTGTGTATGGGGGCCGCATGGCCATGGGCCATGTGGGCAAACGCAAAGTAGCCCCACAAACCCAGAGTCACACAAGTCCCAATAGTCCCCAAAGCAGTAAGAGAGCCAAGAGCGAATTCCTTTGTTTAGGAAATTAAATATCCCAAATTTTGCACCCATGTAGTGGCCATGCCCATTTTGTTCTCAGGTATGACTGACAGTAAGCACCTTGCCTATGTCAGTCCAACTTACTGGGCATGCACATATCTCCCCTTTGTTGGTCCCTTGGGGAGTGTAGTAGCTTTCTGGCGAAGCTGTCCAATGACATGCCTATAATGTCTGGTCTTCCCTTTGCTCCTTTCCTGTTAATAATAACTAGTTAATTACAACAGTATCAAGATGATGTATTTAAAACGCATAAAATAGGCTTCTGTGAGTTGTATTATTATCAACAATGTTCAACATTATTATTCCAATATTAACATTCTTAGCATTCTAGCAGCTATACCATATAAACTTGCTTCCACATTAAAGTGAATGACATTCACGGGCAAGACATGCATCAAAGATCATTTCAAAACTTTTTAAATAATAAAAAAAACCACTCATCTCACTTAAAGATGGGTCTCATGCTTAAAGCAGTGAGCACTTTTGAGAAGTTTTAAGAGACTGACCCTGCTTATCTTTTCATGCCAGGAAGATGTCTTAATTCTTTGGCCAACCTATAAGTTAGCTGCCCTTTGAAATAGGTGCCCACATTGTCCAATCAGTTGGTACACAGGAATTTACATGGTATAAAACATGGCTGCTCCTTTGCAAAGACGATGGATGGATTGCTTTCCCTCATAAGAAGTTGTGGGCATGGTAGCAATGTTTTTGGCAAATCTACAACAGCACAAATGATGTGATAGAAAATCAATAACTCAAGTTCCTTAAAGAGATGGGAGGTGATGGAACCAAGAGCACTGTCAGAATTTGATTGGAACCAGAAGGAGAGGAGACCTTCTGAGGGGAGATTGGAAAGAGGATGCATATGGGTACATTTGTTAGCAGAATTCCTTGATTTCAAGCCTGGTAGCCTCAGTTTTTTTGTTTGTTTGTTTTTTTCAGTGACCCAGTAGGCAAAAACTTGTCTGAAGAGATGGGGGGTGATGAGAGTTAAATCTTACCGAATTTGGAAATGGCTTAGATTTGCAACTGAGAGAAATGGGAAAGGATTTGAGAGAAACAAACATGTTAAAAGTTGGATCCTCAGCTCTGAGGATCTGAGAATGTAACACTTGAATCTGTTACATCTTTCAGAATGAAAAGGAAAAAGTTGAAGTCTGTTTTTCTACATTATTTTAATTTGTCTTAAGTAGAATTTTTTTTATTCAGTCCACTACATTAAAGAATAGGGTAGATTATTTTTGCCAGATTATTCATAGGACTTCTAAAATAGGCATTTTGTCTTAAGGTTGCGTGATGTCATACATGGTATTTTAAGTTATAGCTTTCTACTGTACTTTTAAAAGAATTTATTTTAAAAGATGGTTTTCTGGTGAAGAAACAATAAAGGAAAAAGCTAAATTCTGTGGGGAAAGGATAGGCTGTCTATGTAAACACTAAGAACTTGGTTTCTGAATTTAGACTTTCTGGTTTCTGAATTCCAGCTTCATCACTTAATATCTGTGAGATCTTGAGTAAGTTAAACTCTGTTGCCTCGATTTGTTTTCCTCTGTACATTGGGGATAAAACCTATGTCTGGATTGTTGAGAAGATTAAATTGGACAGTTCACATAAAGACTTTATGTAGTGCCTGGCCCCAAGTTAGTTACTTTTAAGGAGCATTAGACTGTTTCTTATTATCACTTTTCTTTTAATCAAGTAAACTGAAAAAAATGGCCAGTTTTTCATAGATATCGGTTATCTCACAACTACATTAAGCAAAGTTTCTCCCTAGGCCAAGAAGGTCTTAACTCTGTATCTTACTTCCCTAACGTTTCATCTTTCCTTTGCCCGTTATTGATTTAGTGCTTTTTGTTATTGCAGTAGAAGAAGCCAACAGAAGAGTGGCCCATGTGCATGGACAGGGCTGGAATGATTCTTGCTTCAACAGCATTCCCTTCAACCTTGCTTGAATGGAGGCTGCGTAGATCACAAGCTCCGCAGACTACAAGATATCTTTGCTCAGAAGGAACCACAAGGTCACTGAGAGCTAAACTCAACATTGTTCCCCCGCATATCAAAGCTAAGCAGAGTTGTAAATTGTTTCAACTTATGAATAGAACTCCACTGAACCACACCATAGCTATAGAGTTGACCTGCAGTTTTACCCTGCTAAGGGAGTTATTTTGTAGTGACAAAACTTTTCTTCTGGTGGCCTGACACATCATAGGACTTGGAGGTTGGGAATTCTTCCTTCCCATCAAATGTTGGTTCTAAATCCACAGAACTGTTTGAGAATCCAGATACAAAATTATGGTAAGTTTAAATTACCAATATTTTAATGTCTTGCTATTCCCATGTAATAGGGGTAAACTGTAGTTATTTACTTTCTAATCCTGTTCTATAATTATTTTCTGACACAAGCCAGTATTATTGCTCAGAAACACAATTTCCTCCAGAAGTTCCCTTCATCCAAAATATATTGTTATCCCATCACAAAGATGAATAATGGGTTCCAAATCCTGGTAAAAATCCCTCTTCCCTGTATTTTTTAAGAACAAGCATAGAAAAAAGCAATTGTGTTTTAACATCTTACATTTTTCTGAAATGTGAGGAAAAAATTTCCAAAATTGAAAAATCTCTTTGGGCTATTGGATTCTTTTTTTTTTTAATATAATCCACTGAGCCAAACCGGTTTTGGCAGGGCTATTGGATTCTTAAGACAATCTGTTAGTTAGCTGAGTTTAAAGTCATCAATGTTTCCTTGTCATTCCAAATAATGGAGAGCTTTCAGAACAGTTCTTTCTTTATTAGTTCTTCACCAAGAAAGCTGTTTTTTCCTTAGTCCATTAATGTCAGTTTCATGTCTCACTACCCCATGCATAAACCAATCTTCTTTCAGTTTTTGTTCACTATTTTATTGTAGCATAAATCCATATCATTGCTTTGCCTATATTATATACAGTAAATATTAAAACCAAACAATACCTAAGCTAGAAAAGCCATGTAGGCACCTGTGGACTCACACACTTGGCTGTAGGCACTTTTGATAACAGGACAGTTCACATTCCAGTTGAAGCAACCATTATGGTTAGACAACACCCCTCATTACCCCACTTTATTTTTCTTGTATTACGTCTTATACTATCTTACCGATTCTGTATTCCAAGAGACAAAACAGTTGCTGCTAATTCATTGGTTAATACTTTAAATATAGGGGCCATGATGAAAACTTTTTGATTCCAAAGTATTCATCCAATATCTAACTTTCAGTAGACTGTCAGCAACTAGTTGTTGAAAAGATGTATAAATGAATGAATACATGAAAGTAGAACAAACAAGCAGTGTGGGCAGCTAAAATTTGGAAATGATACTGCTTTGCATTTATTCAGAGTAATTATCTTTCCAGCTATCCCATGACAGGTATTTATATCATGTTGTGGATGTGGAAATCGAGACAAAGAGAGGTCAGATGCCTTACTTAAAGTCATCCAACAAGGATTTAGTAGAACCAGTTCTAGAATGTGATTGATAGAAACATAGCTATTTTTGTGTTTCTTTTCCTGATACCTACCCTACTCTTGACAAATGACAAGTGACTTTAAAAACTGTCACATAGCTAGGGCTAAAAGGATTAATGTTAACACATAATTCTATAGCAGTTACTTTCGGTTAACTATCCAACATTTATTCTTCCTTTTACCTTGGAATCTAGGTGTAGGTATTATGAAGATCTCTCTATCTCCACATCAGGAAAAAAATCATGATTGTTTTAAACCAATCCTGGTAACTATATTTTTCTTACCAGTTGTGGTTTAGAAAGACCATGTGACTCAGTTCTGGCCACTGAGCTATGAGGGTGTTTACAGGACAGTTTGGAATTTTTTTGGTTCTAAGAAAGAGACAAATGATGGGATGATGAACAGTCAACACTTTATAGGGTCAATGAATTGGAGATCCTTTTGAGTCAAAGGAATATTGCAGTTTGCACAATAAAATATGCTGGAAGGAAAGGAGATGATATTCATTGAATGAAATGTTTAAAGTGAATATTGTGAAGGTGGTACAGTAGTTGTTATTTATTAAATGAGATTATGAGATTAAGAAAGGTTAGCCAAGGCAAGTTATAGAACACAAATCTTTTAGACGGAGTTAAAAAAAGAAATTAAGAGGCCAAGAAGTCCTAGCTCAAGCCTTTTGTTCTTGGGCCTAAACTGTTCCTACTGGATTTAAGCCCACTAGCTTCTCACCTTCCAATAGTCTATACACTCCTCTCCTCGCCCCAATCCTAAAAATCCCTAGCTCACTCAGCAACTGCTCCATGAATCTTACTAAAATAAATTATTTTACATAGACATTTTGTTTTTAATAGATACTATTGATGATTTGATTTGAAAAGATGAACGAGATTGACAGCACAAAAATTTTAAATATAATCTTTAAAGGAAGATACACACAAGGAAAAGGCAACTGCCCTAGACACTGGCATGTCCAAATGTAATGACTAGACCTGCTGCAGCCATCTTGCAACCAGAGAGGAGGCAACTTAAAAACAAAGCCAACACAATGAAATGACTCAGAAGAAAGTGGGAAGACCTGAGTACTTGTTGATGCTATTGAGCTGATGAATTAAACTTGGAGTATACCAACTATGGGCTTCTTTTCATCTAGATTCTAAGGTAATACTGTAAATGTCTTTATTGCTTAAACCAGTGTTTCATTATTTTCTGTAGAAAGCCTCTCAATTCAGGTAAGTATCCATTAACAACTCCTACTCCAGAGGCTGTTTTTTCATGCTCTTCTGACTTCTGCTGAAGTTATTTTTTGAAAATAACAGAAAATTCCACCTCCTTAGATATGATCAAGGGTCTCTAACTCAGAAAAATCATGATTATGAAACATAGGAAGCACTGGGTAGGTGGGTTGAATAAGGTATCTGGCGATGAAGGGGATCCTGGATCAGGTAAGGTGAAGTGTGAAAGCTAAGCAAGAGATGCAGATGAAAATCAGAGAGAAAGTAACTCTTCTGAGCAGACCTTTTGAAAGCCAGTTTTAGGGACATATGAGCTACATATTTGGGGAGAATTGTGGAACCCACATTATAGTAATTGTGTTGATTACATCCATGATCTTTTCTCAAGAGGGGAAAATGAGTGTTTATAGGATGACAGGTGGTTCTTGTCATTCTTGTTTTTTTCAGAAACAGACCAAATTCTGACATGTCTCATGGTGACATGATAACCTAGAAATGAGAGGCTTGATTTCAATTTTTCATGTAAATACTCAAGAGGCCCATGGTATTGCTCTCTTTCAGTCTGGCACAAATCTCACAAAATAGAAGATCGCCTTAACATTTAATGTAGGATAATTCTCGTTCATGACCTCTTGCCTTTTCCAAACATCTTCATAAAGACATAGTAGTATTCTGTGAATTATATGAGAGCTGTCCATAGGAATTTAAACAGTAAATCTAACAAATAGGCTGCTCTTGGCCTCAGGACTCAGAAGTACTTATTTATTCTTACAGTTTAGGCACTTGAGGAAATATTAACTCTTGAATATATTGTATTCAATTGAGTTTGAAGCCATAAAGAGGAAGGAAATAATAAGATTAGAGCAGAAATAAATGAAATAGAGAATAGAAAAAAATGGTTCTTTGAAAAGACCAATGAATTAACAAATCTTTAGCTGGATTCACTAAGGAAAAAAGGCAGTATATTCAAATTACTAAAATCAAAAATTAATAAGGGAACATTGATGAAGGTAATAATGTAGATAATACTCCTATTTACAATTAATTTGCCAAATACAAAGGATTGTACTAAAACCTTTACATTCTTTATTTCAAAAACCTTACAACCTTTTTAGATAGGTATCATTATCCTCTTTTACAAATGAGAAAACAGGCTCTTTGAGGTTAAATAATATATTTAAGGTCATGCAGTCATGGTATAAATATGCATGTGCTGAAAGAGAATGGAAAAGTCATGAGTTATTTTTATATTCCTGTGATAGTTGGTAAGGGTAGTTGTTATCAATAAGAAAATGAAAGCCTGAGCGAAAGAAAGAAAGCAAAAAGAGACATTGGGTTAGACCTTTTTTTTTTATTCAGGATAGCTAGGCTGTAGTTCAGACAAGAATTCAGGAAAGCAATAGGCAACCAGACATTTCTATGTTGTGTATTTGAAAGTTCATAAACCTTAGATGTTCTTAAAAGAAGAATACATTTTTTAAAATTTCTGGGAAAAAAAAGATGTATATTAAAACTTCTTCGTAAGAACATTGCTACATTGTACATTAGGCACAAATTTTATTTATTGAAGTTTTTTGTAATTTTTATTCATACAACTGGAATATTTAATGTATATTTTACATGTATGTCTTGCAAGTAATAGCAAATCTACTGGACATTCCTTGCAGCAAGAAGCAGTGGTGCTTAGTACACGGCTACTTTTATTATCTCTGTTTTGCATAGGAATACAATAAAACATTTTTAAGAAACTCAAAATTGTAAAGGAGAATGGATAAAAATATTTGATGATTTAGGATGTAGATGAGGGATAGCTGTTAGTTCTTTTAAAAACGCCTTTCTTGATTCTTCATATTTGCATTGGAGTGGAGTTTCTGCCCCCAGATCAAATCCCAACGATAAGGTATCTCTGCTTGACATGAGCAATAACTGGAGTATTTAGGATTAAACAAAATACCAAATGTTACAGGATAGAGGGGGTGGGGAAAGTGTAAGGTGATAAGAGGCTCATCGGCTTAGAGTGGTTGTCTTACTGTGATACAGCAGAGTAGAAACTTGTCAGAAAGGAAAGGTGACAGGCATAAGATAAATATGTGTCCACATTATCCAATGTCAAGAGCTGAACACACTGTTTTTGAATTGTTATCCTCAAGATGCAAATAACAGCCTTATGAGAAATTGAATATTAAAATACATGTATTAAACCGATTTTGCTTAATGGCACATATGTTCATTCATTTATTTGATAGATAGTTACTGAGTGGCTACTTGGTAGTTTTTAGGCTTCAGAAGTAACCCAAAATTGTTGTTTCATTTCAGTCATTTTACCTCTTTCTACTGTTCTCGTTCTTGACTCTTCAGCTTTCCCCCTCCTCCATCAGGCTTTGGAACTTAAAAACTAATAACGTTAAGGCTCCAGTGAAAGGAGTAAAAGGGCATTCAGAGTGCTGTCAACTTTACAAAACTATCAGTGGAGCAGAACAAATATAACTCGTTAATATTTTAAACTTAATATTTGACTAAATTATTGCATTGCCTTGAGGTCTTGAAGGATACAATATACCATGAAGGAAAAGCAGAAGGTGCTTATTCGAGAAGTGGATTAGGAGAGCCTATTTTATCTTGGAAACATTAGAGCAGCCCCTTTAGAGAAGTGTCATTTGCCCTTGCCCAATCAGTCTACAGGCACAAGGGGCCAACGTATAGTTTGACAAAGTCAGATTACTGACTGATTGCAATGAGGGAGATCACACAGAAGAACTGTGAGGCATCTGACCAAACAACAAAAAGATAAAAGTTATTGTAGAATTTTGGGTAAGAGTGGGGTTTGGGCGACATTTAAATGAAGCATTGTTTGGATAGACTCAAAGTAAATCATAGGTCAACATCAGGTCTGGGAAGGATCCAGGGTCGTTTTCTTGGAAACTACATAAAGTTAAAGTAGATGTGGACTGTTGTGTCCAGAAGACCCTTCTCGTTAGCGCTTTCCCTGGTTGAAAATTGAGGCTAATTCTCTATGGGGTTCCAAGAACCCCACTCCCAGACAAGAGTGGGATGTGTTATTCTTAATAATATAGTTTTAAACAACAAAGCTTCTGATAGTCTATTGTTTTAAAGAAAAGAAAAGTTTCCTTAGCAGGTAAGAAGATAGTAATCACTAAAAGAAGGGATTGTTACAACTTTTTATAGAATGTTCTTGGAAGAAATAGTTTCCTATAAACTTTGCATCTGGCTTTATCCATGTTTATTATACCAGCCTGATGAGTGATGGAGCAGATATTTACTTTCTAAGTCCCAGCTAATACTTTGTCTAAAAGAGATAACCAGCCAAGAGAGTGGAAAAGAACTTTCCAGGCAGAAAAAGACAAGTGTGAAGGTTGTGAACTTGAAAAGATCTTGATACATTCAAGAACTGGAAAGCTAATAGAACAGTAACACAGACAGCAAATGACTTGAAATGAGATGGGAAAGATAGGCAGAAAACTGTTAGTCTTATTAAAGATTTTACATTTTAGCAAAGAGCAAAGAGCAATTACTAAAAGGTTTTAATCAGAGGAGTTCCCCAATCTTGATGTACTATGATGGAGAATGCCTTGTTGGGGCAGTAGTGGAAAATGGACTTGTTGCAAAAGAAAATGGTGGTGTGTGTGTGTGTGTGTGTGTGTGTGTGTGTGTGTGTTTATAACACCAGTAAAGGACAAAAATCAACAGATTGTCTTAGAGTTTGAAAATGTACAGTGGGAAAGAGACAAGAATTAGGAATAATTTCCAGGCTCTGGCTTGAACATCCAGATAGTGGTGTAGTGTCATTAAGATGTAAAAGATGGGAGGTGAGGCAGGATTGGTGGGAAGAAAAAGAGTACAGCTTTATACTTCTAAAATCTGTGTGACATTCAAGTCAGGACGGCATGAATACACTTAAATATATGGACCTGGGGTTCAGAAGAGAGGTTTGAGTTGCTGATAAATGTAGAGTTGTAAGTGTATATTTGAGGCCATGGAAAAAGAAAGTAACAAAATTTCAAAAAGAAAAGAGAATTCAGGACAAAGCCCAGGAGAACTGCCAAATCCAGAAGTAGACAAAAGAAGAGCCAACCATAAAAATGGGCCAAATTCATTTATCAAAAGCTTGGTTTGATACTTGATGTTTCCTCAGTTTTACCTGTCATCAATTTCTTAGATGAATAGGGAGTCAAAACATCTGAAGCAAGGGAGGAAAGACTTTTCCTATACTTTCTTCGATTCTGTGGATGGGCCTGAAAGCTAAACAGACAAAAGATCGGTTAACAGGAAAAAAGCATACAAATTTTGTTTTATATTAATGTTTTTATGTGGCACAAGAGCCTTTGTAGAAAATAAATGAGGACCCAAGCCTAAGAGTTTATATACTTTTTCAACAAAGAACAATACATTGATAAGACAAACAAAAAAAGGTTTGGACAGTAAATTATAGGAAAGTGACTAGGAGAGATATTGATGCCATTGTAATAATCCTATTACTATTTAACAGAAAAGGAGCAAGGGAAGACCAAATAATATAGACATGCCATTTATACAGCTTTGCCAAAAAAAGATGCATGTAACATTCTCCAGGTCTATTCCCTGCTGATCAGTGGGAGAAGGGACTGGATAAAGGCTCAATTTTGACGCATGCCCAGTAAGATCTGAGTGACATGGAAAGGTGCCTACCTGTCTGCCCATCAGTCACACCCAAAAGCAAGTCAGTGGCTACTGCAAGCAGCCAAAACCTGAATATTTAAAACTTCCAAACAGCCTGGCCAGCGTGGCTCAATGGTTAAGCATCGACCTTTGAACCAGGAGGTCATGGTTCAATTCCAGTCAGGGCACATGCCTGGGTTGCAAGCTCAATTCTCGGTGGAGGATGTGCAGGAGGCATCTG